TGTCTTTATGCATCTATATACCTGTAATTTTTAGAATTATTTTGCTTTTTTTTAATGAAAGAAAATCAGAAATCCCATCACGTAACATACATTTGCAGTTAGGAACTCTTAGCCCCACCTTGCAGATGTCAGCAGTTGTAGCTAAGGGAGAGCTGCTGGATGGGAGCAGCATTTCTTTTGCTCCTGAGGGCGAGCACAGTAAAGTCACAGGACACTGGGTTTCACAGGTCTTTGCTGACAGCAGAGAACCAGTGACGACTGACCCATTTCCACTTCTCAGTGGGTGAGTGCTGCTGGAGACCCTGCTACCCCTTGGCCCTGTGCCACCCTCTGCACCTTGCAGTCCCCTGCCCCACGGGGTGTCATGTGGATCTCCACTTTCCAAGCCACAGGCTCTCTGCTACCGAGACTCTTCACCCTGCTGGTCTCGGCTGAGCACAGCTTCCCCTTCCGCAGTCATGTCCACGTCTTGTGTTGGGTCTTCCAGTTTTCACCCTAGTCCTATTTCTTCCTTGGCTCCCATTTTTTCTCCCTCAGTTCATCCAGCAACAACCTCCTTCTCTCTCCATCCCCCTCCCTCACCTTCTCCCAGTCTCCAGCTCCCCGAAGTGTCTCTTCCTAGGCAAACCCAGTCTCCTGTCCTTGCTGATACCGCTCACAGCTTTCCCTAGTGTATCTTCTCTTGGGCACTGAGGACCCTCTCAGGCCAGCTGCCCGTCTCGGTCCCCTCTGGGCTGCTCTCTCCATCCTGCTTCCTTCCCCCACGCTCCCACTGTGGCTCTTACCTTCTCTACATCTGTATCAGTACTTTCATCCTTTGCTTCAGCAAAAGTGCCCAACTAGAGATGCTATGGCAGCTGGCCTCAGGGAAGTCCAGCATCAAGTCCATGCCCTGAGAGAAAAAGAGGAGAGGAGCCCATTGATGGGAAAGGAAGAGAAATGCAACCTCTGAGGTCCTGCAGGAGCTAGGACATCTTGGAGCATGAATCAGAGATTTTACCCTCTCTGCCCCTGCAAATCTCTACTAAGGATGTGACATTTTGGGATGTTTTGAAAGCTTTTAACTGGGCCAGGAGTGGGTGGTTTTTCAAAGGAAGAGCATCCTTGACAAATCAGCTGGGTCACAGACCACGTCTTTGCTGCAGAGTTTGGAGATCCAAGAGCAGTTTGTGGAAGCCCTCGCCCCAGTCCTGTTAGCACTGCAAAAACACCCTCGTGTTAGTCTCAGAGGTGATGAAACAATTTGGGCTGAATGTGGAACCCTCAGCCTGATATAATGAACTGAAATGGAGAGTTTTATCCAAAATGAGTAGCAATTGGGAAAATTATGACTCACTGAAAGTATGATATTACAACAGAAAATATCAAACACCCTTAATAATAGGCAGAGCTGCTTGCCACACCTGTAACTGCGGTCATTACACAACTACTTAGCATTTTAAAAAGCCAATAATTTAGAGGTGTAATGCGACATGGACAAAATCAACATTCTTCTGAGATCCATGTAAGATGCCAGGAAGCACTTTGGTGTAAGAAAACCTGCTATTTTATGGTATTTCTCAAAGAATAAGGGACAGAAAGGGAAATGAGAAGAGGGGATATAAATAGAAGTGTATAGGACTGCCTTTTTGGGAATGAGGAGGATGCATGGGAGGGAAGAGAAAAGAGATCTTTTCTGCCAAAAAATGTGGCTAATATATGTATTTGCAGTTAAGTTCCAGAGAAAAAACTAGGCTGAAATGCCACCTGGAGGTTTCCAGTGGCAGCACATGCTCTGGCAGGAGCGATTTATGGTGCCTGACGGTCCCTTGCTGGCAGCAGTGCTCTGTGATCATTTATTCTGTACACTGCAACCTTGATTGTTCTGGCTCTCCCAGGCTATGCTCCCAAACTGTCTCAGGGGAAAAAAATACAAGCATCTTTTTCTGTCTCATGGAAGATTTTCCAACTGATTTGCAAGGTCTTTTATATCTAAGTTTTCATTTATCCATCAAAAATACTTTGGCGTTATCATATGAGGGAACGTTTTTTGCAGTCACTGAGATCTATTTTTTTAAATCTCTAAGGAAATGCTCTATAGAATGCATTTGATGAAGATGGGCACGTTCTTATTGAGCATGGTCACTTCTCTGCTAATCTGAACCATTTAGGGACTAGCAACTCATCACTAGTAAGTTGTAGTCTCTCTTTAGAAGGATGGCTTTGTACTTAAGACGTGACATGAGGTGCTGGAGTTCCCAGCTGGGTGTTTGGTGGTGACCTTACACGTTACATGTGTCTGTATTTCTGTTTCCTTAGCTGTTAAAAGGACCTGTCAGTCCCTCCGCACTGTTTGGCTGCTGCTGAGGTTCAGTCCTTTGTCTCCTCAAAGCCCTCTGAGATCCTGGAGGAGAGCTCTGATATGCTGTGATTGCATATACAGTTGTGAGATCTGAAACTTGGCATCATCTTAGCTGAAATTGTTCCACTCTGATAATTTAATTAATCAACATTGAAGCAGAGTGTTTGAAATAATGTGTGCATTCATTTGCATAATGGCTGTAATTGGCAAGGCTTCCTAATATAAGTGTAGCAGTTCCACAGATGATAGTGTGATAGACCATTTTCCTGCAGGCAGCCAACAGCACACATTTCAACTTCTATTATTTGCTTTTCCACAGAGGAAGGAAGTGACAACTAGATTTATTGGCCACGGGACAGAGATGACCAACAGATTTTTGATGGCACTTGAACACCTATATTTTCTACATGACTGTGTTGCCATGCCAAGATAAAAAGGCTGTAATCAGGTTAGAGCAGAACCTGCACTCCAAGTGGAGTTGAATGTGTTTCCAAGTAACAGGATGTTTGGCCGTGGAGATCTCCTTTAGCCAAATCTACTGTTTTCACAGTCATGTCAAAATGGAGTCTCAGACTCTAGTTTCAGAGCAGCAGTCGCTAGGTACCCAAGCCACATCTGCTTGGGAAAGAAGAAAATGAATGACTGCCACGCAGAACCCCTTGCTTTGGTACCATCCCACTGGGAATGGCCTCAGGGAGCGCTCCAGACTCCAGTGCACGTTGAATTTAATCCTAAAAGGCAGAAATTATTTTAAATAAATACTTGCCTTTTAAAGACCTTGAATGGGACATCAGTGGCCATGCAGTGGATGTAGAGGTATTAATCCTCAGGAGATGGCCTTTGGATAATCAACTGACATCTTTTAACTATCTTATCCTATCCATTACTTTGCAATTAGCAAGGCAGCTATTGATTGTTAAACAAACGCCAGATGACTGCAGAAGTACCTGTGCTGAGGAAGAGAACGAGTGCACTAGAAATACACTCACTGCCTTGCACACAAGTGCCCTGATGGAAAAGGGTCCAATGTGCGTTCTCAGGAGGAAAATGTCTGGTGATAAGCCTGAGTGCAGAAGAGCCATCTCAGGATCAGACCCATCATTACTTCTTTAAAATGAAGTGACACTTGAAAATTAAGTACCTAGAGAGCCGTGTGAATGGTTCAGGATCGGGGCTCCCTCTTGGTTTGGAGAGTGCTTAGAAAGTCATTTAATATCTCTGTATTTTAGTTTCCCTTCTAGGTTTGAGGGACCCAAAGTGCAGTCACAGGATGCATAATAAGAAGAAAAATGTGAACTGCTTTCGCTGATCTCTGGTGATATCAAAGGCAATTGGTCACAGCACTGCCAATTCCATTTTTAGGTGCAGCAGATGCAGCGATGAATGAGACATGTTACAGCAGAGGCAGATACATTGCTAGGAGAAAGCACCAGTGGCCCTCATGCAGGCTCAGTCATGCAGGCGGAAGTAGGGGCTGCCGTCATTAGCTCAGACATTTAGCAGTACCTGCCTGCTTTCACAGTCCAGCCTTAGAGTGCATCCCAGTGAGGTCTCTGGTCAAGCTGGCCAGAAATCTTCCCATGATACTGATTTTTAGTAGGAAATATAGCTGCGTCAGATGCAACTGTTTTATGAAAACATAGCTTACTGATGTTTCAAAAAGTACTTTTCCCAAGATTTTTGCTTCACAGGAAGTGGGGGAGGCAAGATGATTGTTTCTGACTTGAAACAAAGCCAGTTTTTTAATAAGTAACAATGTTCCCATGTTCTGAATTTTGTCCTGTATGAGCTCTGAGCCAGCAGGAGCCTATGTGGCAGCTTAGCTGAGAAGTCAGCCTGCCTTTGAGCTGCAAAGCACTCAGCAAGCCTGCACAAGTGTTTGAAACAGGAGAGGAGGAGGAAACCTGCCTCCTCTTTGTTTCCTGGAGCAGACTGACTTGATGTGGGACTTCAGGCAGCTGTTGGTGCTAACACTTCACTGGCGCTCCTGGGGAAAGTAGCAAGGAGTGTGAAAGCAGAGCTGGCTTTTAGGTCTTGCTTACAGGTCAGCATCAAAAATAGGAAAAGGATCTGAGTAGTCAGAACTGGCTTGCAAGTGCCATCTTGTGGAATCACTAAGGTGCTTTCCCTAGGATTTTGGAGGTGGTCTTCCTTTTCAACAGCTAACCTGTCCTCTTACCCAGCACTCCAGATCCAACCAGGGAGCATCCAGAAAGGTGGGGGCTCAGGCCCATGTAATACAGAATTTTGAAATCACAGAACAGTTGAAGTTGGAAGGGACCTTTGGAGATCATCTTCTTAATTAGGGTCACCTGGAGTAGGTTGCCCAGGACCGTGTCCAGACCGGTTTTGAATATCTCCAAGGATGGAGGCTCCACAACTTCTCTGGGTCAACCGGTCCAGTTTGACCACCCTCACAGTAAAGAAGTGTTTTCTTATGTTCAAGTGGAATTTCCTGTGTTTCAGTTTGTGCCTGTTGCCTCTCGTCCTGTCACTGGACACCACTGAGAGGAGTCTGGCCCCGTCCGGAAAAGACAAACACAAACAGGGGAAGCCAATTAGCTTGCCCATCTGAATCTGCAGAGCTTTGTTGCGTCAATGCTCGCTTTGGGCAGCTCGATTTGCATCTGATGAGTTCTTTGCATTTTTGTTTCCAAAGGTACCGTGTTGTGGTTCCCTACCCACCACAGAGCGAGGCCGAGATCGAACTGAAAGAAGGTGACATTGTATTTGTGCACAAGAAAAGGGAGGACGGCTGGTATAAAGGGACATTACAGAGGAACGGCAGGACGGGCCTTTTCCCCGGGAGCTTCGTGGAGAGCTTCTGAGGACCGATTGCGGCTCTCCGAACTGGCGGGGCTTTCAGGGGAAATCCCATAGCACAAGAAGAGACAGCAAAGGGAAACTTGACTGATAACCACTGCCATTTTTATTTCCAAAGACTCCCCCAGGCCCTTCAGTCTACAGCTTTGGAGACACAGCGCCCCGCTGTGCTTCTGAAACCGCGTGCGGTGCATACGGTGGTATGTTGAAGTAGTGCCTTCCACCTGGAATCACAGACTGAAAGGATGCCCATTTGGACTGTACGTAACCTAAACTCCAGCTGTTAACCCTTTGTGTAAATTATAGAGAAAATATCTTTAAAAAGATTAAGAGGAAAGTTGTTATATTGCTGTAACTTATTTGTCAGAGCTGCAGTGTTCTTATTACTGGCCTATGCAAGACGTATTTGAGAGTTCAAGGAGGTGTGCTAGGAAGCTCTTAAACTGGGATTTTACTTTTCCTGAGGGATAAAGACGGAGGGGAGGGTGGAGAAAAACCCAGCTAAATATTTGTGCGTTGTCACGCAAGAAAAGAATGAAGAGTCCAAAACGTAAATGTCATGCTTTCTATATACCTCAAAGATATGCTGCGTAAGTTTGTCAGTAACTGTGTTAGTGCTCAGAGTCCCATATCATCCGGTACCCCAGTGTTGTTACTGGGAAGGTCCTGGAGGAAGTTTGGCTCCACCAGTCGACTGTGGTTATTTGAGCAGAATCCCTTTTGCCTGTCTTCTGCCCTTATTATATGCAGCGTGGATTTTTGTCCTTCAGTATCACTTTCCATTGCTTTTTTGTATGACGTACCTTTTTAACTGTAAGAATTGTTATACTTTATATATATTCCTAATAGATCAGACATTTCCTCTTTTTCATACATCTGGTGCTATTTTTTTTAATTGTTAAAGATTTGGTTTGGTTAAACAGAGAGGCTGCAACAAGATTTGCATTTAACATATGAAATTAGAAATGTACCTGAAGATCAAGATCGGGCTGGTTCATGTTTCATAGAGGAAAAGAGAAAAAACTGCTTGGTCACTGATAAATATACCTGAAGGAGTATGCGTGTGCAAGAAGCACATGCTCACACTCTCGTGTATATTTGTAGTGTCTGAAGACCAACACTAAAGCGCTGCGTTCTGTCTAGAGAGTGATAATTACACCAGAATTGGAAGTAATTCCCGGATGAGTCATTTTAATTGACTTTTTCATGGCAATAAGAAGAACACTGCAGGTTCTAGCACACACAGGGACTGAGGAAATTTCCTCTGTAGTTGCATCACAGAGACGAGAGCTGATCTGCGACGGCTGTAATTATCATTATCAAAATGTGATGTCTCACTGTAGAAATGTACAGTTCTGGAGACTGTTCAATTTCTTAACATGGTCAAGCTACAATACAAAACGTATCAGGCAATATAAGCTTCCATCTACCAGGGACTTAAAGGTGCAATAAGTGTAAAGCAAGTTTAGTCAGTTATTCATATCAAGCAGAATGAAAGAAAATCAATAATGTAATTGTGAGCGTATTTAAAAAGAAATCAATTCTTGACGAATGAGACATGATGAAAGAATTTTCTTAGCTATATCTGTACTTTGCCTTCCCCAGTGGCTGGCTGTTTGCCAAAGCCAACATGTGGTGGTCATTTAAAAGCATGTTGGAGGCACTGTAACCTGGAGATGATCTTATTAAAAGGAAGAGGCCCAGTGGGTGAACATCATTACTATGTCACCAGTATTTCATAGGTGAAGGTGTAAGTTTTGTTTTCATTCAAGCCATGTATTCTAGTACCTATCGAAACACATAGAAGTGAATGTCCCTATTTGAGTTCAGCTCTGTGACTTTGTTCTCTGTAAAATAAGTTTCTTCTTGCTGTCACATGTAACAAACAGATTCCAGAAACACAGTCCATGGCCAAGTATAGCACCTTCAGACAGGGAGGCATTATTTTCAGGGTGTTTCTTTTTATATTTAACGTTTGCCGCATTTGTTCATATTCCAGATTGTAATGAGTCAGCCACTAAAAAGTTTAGTTACTGTTGAGAGGAAATTGCCTTTTTATAACCAATAAGAGATTGAAGAAATGTCTTCTGCAACAACTGGTTTGAGAATAGAGCCATATCTGTCCGGTTATTTGGTCCAAATCAAAATTGGTATCACTGCACCTCGAGCAGTAAACTGCACAGTTAGCGTGTTAGCAATGCCAAAATGTGTGTTACTGATTCCAATAAAAATTCTGGGTTAGATCTGTCACAGACAAGGAGATTTTTCTCACAATTTATAGTGGTTAAAGTTCTCTTAAAACTGTGTTCCGTGAGTGTATTTACTACACTCAGAAAAATGAAACAGGATGACGGCTTGGTTGCTGCCTATTGTGTTTAGCCAGAACTAAAATGGTTCCAGATTTCCACTTTTTAGTGCTTAACTCTAAGAGGACAAAAATTGGTATGTAAGAAGATAAAGGAAAACAAACAGATGTTGTATCATGAAATTTGTGTTTTAAAATATATTTTGCAGGGAAGATAATTGTTTTTTTTTAAATAGACAACAACTTTTCCAGTCATACCTCCTGTAAGGAAAAATATCTGGGAGGAGGGGGATCCATTTTGATAACACCCCTGTTAACTGCTTATCGTAATAGTCTGGGTCAGAGAGTAATCTTCTTGGACAAATCACATCCATGCAAGGAGCACAAGTGCAGAACATGATACAGGTCAGTGATACAAGAAAGTGACCCAGTACCATTTGGAGAGTCCTGGACTGAGAGACGTTTGACTTGTACTGTGGTCTAATTTTTACCTGTCATACAAAGGAAATGGGGATGAGGGGGCATATTCATCTCCTACAACAGTGGATAAAAAGAAAGGTATTCTTCTGGCAGCCTCGGTTTGTAAAATGCCAGGTTTGTTCTAGAAATGGGTTCAAGTAATTGAAGAATTCCTTTGAACTTTGCACAGCTCAGATGTTTCTGTTAAACATGAATGTTAATGTGATTTAGGAAATGTTGGCAGATATGAGTACAAATGAACTACAATGACTGTGTTTCTGATTCTTTAAATAAAATAAACATTAAGGTAACTTGATTGACGTTTCTGTCTTTATTGGATGGCAAAGTGACTAAACAATGTAAGTGCCTCTAAGATTCCCAAGGACAACACGAAAAACCCCTCTCCAAACCTTGTTCCTTCTGAGCAAGCCTATGTTTCCTTTATGTTCAGTCATAATTCTTACGTAAGTAAGACAGCTAAAGGTAAGAGATGCCTCATCAGAAGACAGAATCTGTTTCTGCATTTTCTTTTGGCAGATCCGTGATTTTTCAAAATCTTGAGAATGTTTTGGCCTGCTGTTCTGCACTCAAGAGAGAAACAGGCGTTGCGTCTTTTGGGGACTTCATCCTCCATAGACTTGTCTCTGGCATCTTGGGCATTGGTTTTCCCTTTTTTCCCCACAAGGGACTCGCTGGAATTCCTTACTCCCTTCCGAAAAAGACCTGTGCCATCTCAAAGGGCAAACATGGGAACCACTTGCAGAGGAGACTCCAAGTGGGAAACACAAATGTCTAGCCCAGACGAAGGCCATTAGGTACTCCTAAATACATTTTGAGGGGCAAGTGCTGGACCACCAGCCTGCACAGAACAGTTCTCAAGAGATCAGGCTGCCAGACTAAACAGCCCATGAAAGTTGCATGAAACGCCTAACTTCTGCTTGGAGAAAAGTGGTGCAGGCTTGTAGGTCCAGAGAAAGAGAGCAGGAGCAGGCCAGAGAGAGGGACTAAGGTGCAGGAGTGCCCTCTCCTCAGAGAGCACCTGTCCAGTGCCTCTTGACTCCATCCTGGTTGCTCCCAGCGGCTGGTGCGTCCCCGCTCCCTGATTCCCGCCCCGCAGGTAGCTGAAAGCACCAAGGCTGAGGGAGACGGCACTGGACCCACAGCCTGGAGGGTGCACTGAGGAAGCTATGGTACAAAGCTGCGAGGGGACATGGCAACATAAGGATTTTAAAGGAAAAACATCAGCTGCATCTCTGTGTTGCAACCTCTAATCCTTTCAGAGGGCTTGCCCTGGGTGCCCCAGTGGATTGAGCAGGTTTGTAGGCAGACGCAGTGTCCAGCACATGTGCCCTCTAGGTTATGTACAGCTCAGAAACCAGGCAAGGGAAGGAGGCAGCAGGTTTTACCTGGGCATCCGAAAGCCTCCATGACCCAGTTGAGGTGTGCAGCCACGTTTTTGCACAGGGCTTGAGTTTCCCATTGAGGAACATAACGCAGCAGAGCTGAAGGAGAGCATGTGCTCAGCCATGACATGTTTGCCCATATTCAGCTGAGACACAGGGATGATCTTGAGGAAGGGGCATCTGCAGATGGGGATATATCACCCCAGTCTGAAGTAACTGGGGGATGAGGTGGGGGGGGTTTCCCCGCGTGCGGAGGTGACGGGGGAGGGGGGGGGGGGGGGGGGGTTGGAGCCATGCTTGGCTAACCCCAGACTCTGCAGCTCCAGCATTGCAACAGCAGCGCCTGATTATGACTGAGAGTTATGACCACATCTGGGGGATCTTCATCACGGGGCTCCTCAAGGAGCCGCCTCTCCAGTGAGGTGAGGCGAGGCTCTCTCTGCCTCAGCACAGGAGCTGGCTCCAGAGTCAGAATTTCAAAATGTGGGAACCACAAGAATTTCAGTGAGGCCAGGCAAAAGCTCTCCCTTCTGCTCTGCCTCACTGGCTGCCCCATTCAGTGCGTGGTGCAAATAGCAACGTGCGGTAGCACAGCAGCTCTTCTCAAGCCAGTTGGGAGCAGTGGTCTCTTCCCCGCTTGGCTGGCACTGCTCCTTGCGGGCTGCTCGGTTGCTCGCCAGCCGCCTTGCCAGCACGTACCGTGCACCTCACCGGGCCTGCGCCCCGCACAGAGCGCTTGGCTCCTGCTCCAGCCCCCGATAGGAATTCCAGGCATGTTTTAAAAGAAAAATAATCATCGTAAAATTGTTACGCGGCTTGACTGTTCCTGAACGCTTAT